CATGGCTTTTCTGGGGCTGAGAGAGTGTGCATGCATATCTTTTTAATTAAAAAATTAAAAAAATATTTTTATTATTTGTTTATTTATTTATTTATTTATGGTGCTTCGGCCCCCCAATTGTCTGAGGGACAGCAACCCGGCCCACAACTCAAAAAGGTTGCCTACCCCTGTCTTAGGAGATAACTCCCAAAGTCGCCGTGTTCTCCTCCCACCACTAGGTGGCACTCTTGGAGTTGAAGAGATGTGCCTAAAAAAACCATGAAGTTCTCTTCGGCCTCATTCCCATTACGTTTTAAACCGGTTTGAAGCAGTTTAAATGACCCTGGTTTGTACTTGAACCGAATCGTTGCAGTGGTTTGAAGGGGGGGGGCATGCGCTAGATCCATTTAACGCACACCTTTTTGACGCTGATTTTTTTTCCCCGCGTCTTTTTAGATGAATCGATTCTGCGCAAGTGTGAACCAGATGCGGATTGGAATCAATTTAAATTTGCCCTTTGGTGGGCTGAAACGGGTCCATTTCGAATCAATTCATTCGTCAATGTGAACCACAAGTGGGTTATTTTGCAGCAGGAAAATGCAATCCGGGCAAATATAGAGTGAACCACGCTCTGCTGTCGAACCGATCCATCGATTTGAATCGCAAACCGATTGATTTGTAAGTGGGAATGAGGCCCTAGTCAGAGGTTTTTATTGCCCAATCTGCAAGGCTCTAGGCCTCATTGAGGAGACCCCAATTGAGTCCCACCCTTTATTAAAACCAGAATCGGACCTCTGGGCATTTCCAACAATTTTTTTTGCAGAGGGCAGTACTTCTGACAGCAGGGCCAGCGTGGTTTAGCGGTTTGAGCATTGGGCTAGGATGCTAGGGACCAGGGTTCGAATCCCAGCTGGGCTTTGGAAGCCCACTGGGTGTCCTTGGCCAAGTCACACTCTCTCAGCCTCAGAGGAATGCAAAGGTAAACCTCTTCTGAACAGTCTCATCTCTACGACAGACAGAGAGATATCAATGACAGATAGAGAGACAGAGATCAAGGACAGCTACACAGATAGTTAGTGATCAATGAGAAAGAGAGATGATATATTGGTCAAAGGAGAGCAAGGACAAAGTAGGAGATCAGTGGCAAATAATAGATAGATAAGATATCAATGAGAGAGAGAATCATGGTTGATAATCAAAGACAGACAGATCAATGAAGGAGAGAGAAAAGAGAATGAGAGATAGTTGGATAGATAGATTATAAATAGAGATCTGTCATTAGATAATAATAATAATAATAATAATAATAATAATAATAATAATA